AACAAAAACTAACCCAAATAAAAAAAAAAACTGTTTAAATACCATAAAATTCTTTTTATATATCCTTTTGTACTCTATCTTCTCTTTCAAACAACAATCCCCTCCCCCTTCCTTTAGTTTGCTTGGTCCACCTTTGATTTTGACGGCACCTTTCAAACCTTCCTTCCTTTCTTTTTTTTTTTTTTTTTTTTTCATTTCAGAGCTCCACCATCTCGTAGTTTTATTATTCCCCCTGGCGGTTATCTAGACGATCGCCCAGTCTCTGGTGGACCGTACATTTTTGGTCGAGAGAACGCTTCCCCGTCTGCCAATTATCCATACGTGGGGCCAAGCGCGACAGCCCATTTTCCAATCTCGGTTGAACCATTCAGAAAAATCGAAACTGCTGAGCTCTCAGAATGGCTAAAATCAAAAGGAAAAGAGCCACAATCGTCACAATCACCCACTCAGATTCCATGAGAGAATATACAATCGGCAATCATGCACACGACAAAGGAATGTCTGTATCATCTGTCACCAACTTAACGTTTGATTGAGTTAATTGAATCACGAAAAGCACTGCAGAAAGGTTAAACTAAACAAGTCCGATTTACCATAGTAAACTTTGCCTACCCTTTTTAACCAGAGTTAAGGCTTTTTACTACACTAAACTCTCAAGTGTGACCTCAGCCAAAAAAAATTGCCAAAAAAGCAACTTCCAAACTTTGCTCAGGTAAACAAAGTTGATTGAAATACCACCTCACTTTAGTCAGTTGTTTAGTCATTAAAATGTCGTGTTTGTCTGTCTTTTGTCATTTAAATGAGAAAAATGAAAATTCTTTTGGTGCGCCGTCAAAGAATTTCGGATGATTTATAATGGTAATTGAACTGAGTGGAGTGTAATTTAGTCTGAAATCATATCCGCGATTTCAAAATGCTCGATTTGAAATTTCAGACCAAAATAGCACGACACGAAGTTCAATTCCACTTTATTGCAGCCATTTTGAAATCGCAGAATTAAAAAAGGCTTTTACATCTCATTTTGTATTCGAAACAGAAATGTTCCGATATAGAAAAAAATGGTGCGATTTAAAACAGAAATGATACGATTTAGAACATGAATGATGCGATTTGGAACAGATGCGATTTAGAGCAAAAAATGGTGCGATTTGGGAATAAATCACACTGCTGAGAGCCAATCAGATTGCACGGATCGTCAGTGATTTCAAAGTGGATGTAATAAAGCTTCAAAGTCGCAACGGAAATACGACGGTTGAAATATTTTTGAGCGCGCGCATAGAACCTTGAAGGACACAAAGAAATGACTCGACCTGTTGCGAATATTTAAAGAGCGCGCATAGAACGACTTGAAAAGCTATTAGATTTAAGTTTATAGCGCAAATTTAATTTTGTAAACTCTTACCTTAAGGAAATAGAACGAGGGAGGTCTGTCTTGTTTGAAAGTGATGGAATCTGTCCAACGCTAGCCTGTCAACATAAGAGCAGTACTGTTTAGAAAGATACTTACCAAAGATAACAAACGAAGCGAAGAAGAAATAGCGTCGCAAATATACCACGAATGGCACTCTCGAAAGGCAAAAGCTACCTTCAAGAGGACGATACACGCGTGGGTATTCACTTTTATACGATTATACTAATAATTCACATGTAGACAGCTCGATGAACATTGTTATTGGCTATACGTCGTAATTGACTGCTGTTTATTATGCAAAAAGTGATATGCCCTTAAGCGTTTTGTCGAATAACTATTCTCCGGAACGAGTATTGCTTAACAAATGGCAAGAATTATATTTCTAGAAATCGTTTGCTCGAATAAAGTTCGTGTTATTATCGTAGCTTATCAACGCGTAACCAACTCTGACCCTG